CCCTGACCAATCTAACCCCCCGTTCCCTGTCCCCTGCCTGCCCCTCCCCCCCCCCACCAGGCCGAGGGAGAGCTGCGGGCTCCATGTGGAGCCAAACACTGTTCCGCGCTGCTCTGGTGGGGGAGGAGGAAGCGGGGGGAGGGGGAGGGACTCTGGCTGCTAGAGGCCCCAGTGGCTGCAAGCGGCTTTCAATCAGGCCCAGCTGTCCAATCAGCCGCACCGCACTCTGCATGAGGGGAAGGGGGAAATCCTGGACATTTCTACTTTATTAGAAATCCCCCCCCGGATGGCCATTTAAAGCTGAAAAAGCCGGACATGTTCGGGGAAACCCGGACGGATGGTAACCCTATCAAAGTGCACACACGAGCATGAGCAAGACACACAAGCGACAAAAGCAGCTCTTGTTATCCTTTCCATGATGCCCTACCCCTACCCCTTGCAGAGTTATGCTGCAAAAGCTCCCAAGCCCAGGGTTCTGTCTTGCTGATTTGCCTGTAATGCTGTACAAAGAATAACAACATCTTTGCAAGTTGTGTGGCTGCCCAGAACACATTTCACCAGAGGCAAATGGAGCTCAAGGCGCAAAAATATCCAGTTCTATTCTAAATCTAGAACCCACCATTTGGAGAGGGCTCTAACTGTGGGGAAAGGAGTTCTATGGCAGGTTGTGCTCCCTTCCTACGTGCTCCTGGTCTGTGCTAGGAAGAGCTGTAGCAGTTTCCAGCTGTGTGCACTATAGGTATGCATTTATGCGCATTGTCCTGTCTGGGAGTGTCCTGGAAAGTCCCAGGGAGCAGGGGACAGCGTACAAAAGCCATATGGTAATTTTTGTCCTACTCTCTCCCCTCACTGTGACAATGCCCCCCAACCCTCTTCAGTCCCCCACTTGCTCGCCAGGCCTTTACTCATTAGGTTATCTGTACAAATTAGATTATAAATTTCTCTGGGCAATGATCTTGTCTAATTTTTTGTCTGTAAAGTGCCATACCCATCTACAGCATCATGTAAATCATTACAAATAATATCACCGCAGGCAGTGTGGCAGGGTTTGTATAAGAAGGTAAATAGCAAATGTTGCAAAGAGACAAGTCAAAGAGTCTGCTTTTAGATTGTGCATGAAAACTGGTAACACAGAGGTGACAAGGTAACCCAAGGAGAATCCATCTTTGGGGCTCTTATGCCTTGGCTTTTCATTGTCTGGGATATTAGCAGAGTCTCCTTATGGAATCATAGCCTTGGCTTCTATCACCGCGTATCTGTGACTTGAAGGGTAGATCTACACTTGGAGCTGGTGGGGGTGGGAGGTGGTTCCCAGCTAGAGGAGACGTACCTGCACTAGCCCTCATCAAGCTAGCATGCTAAAAATAGCAGAGTAACTGCGGTAGCATGGGGAGCGGTGGGAAGGGCTAACTACCCTGGGTACAAACCCACCTGGATCCTGTGTGTACATACTCAGGTGGCTAGCCCGAGCTACTGTCTTTGCAACCACAACTACACTACTATTTTAGGGTGCTAGGTGTCATCAAGCTAGTGTGAGTATGTCTCCTTGAGAGGGGAATTACAACCCCCAGCCCCAAATGGTTATCCTACACTAGCGAGTGGGTCACACAAGTGAACCCTTGTGAGGCTATCTCACTGCCACCTGATTTGTGTGGTATAGTCCAATGTACTTCCCAATGCCAGGGACTTTGTAATGTTTTCAACAGTTCTAAAGCACTGGCCAGAGAAAACGCCTCTGAGTGTTCCCTGTACAGTCTGTGTAGTGTGTCTGAGTCCAGCCCTGCGCCTGTTGAGGTCAGTGGTAATACTCAATGGCAGTAGAACTGGTCTATGTGTGTGATACCAAGTCACCAGCACAACTCCACCAAAGTCAGTCTGTAACTGAGTGGAGAATTTGGCTCTGTTTAATTCTATCACGTAGACATGGCTGCACAGCTCCAAATCCCAGAAGCCCAGGGGGAGCTGTGCTAATGAGGGGGGAACAATAGGTAACCAGTAGTCTACCAGCCAGATTAATAAAGAGGTTTTATTAATGAGTTAAAATGACACATCAGCTGGAAAAATTTAATTGCTATCACATGGCAGGCACATATCATGGTTATCACCAGGGTGGATATAGATGCTGGAAGTGGTGCAGTTTTTCTATACCATGTAATGTTTAAACATTATCGGGCATTCAATCTGAAAAAATCATAAAATCACAAAAAGGGCCATAACTCGAAGTAACACAGTATAATTTTGACCAAAATTGGCAGCAACCTTCTAAATATAATTTCTAATGTAACTATGTGTTTTGGAAAGTTTGGGAAATATTTAACCCCGGCGATATATTTTATGCATTTTTCCATATTTTTTTGCCTTTCGTCAAAGCAAAAGTCTGTAGTCACACAACAGTCTGAGCTCGTTTATACCACGTAATACATTAAAATATTTGTCATCATCTGTAGAATGGACTGATCTGAGAAAAAGTTTTTCGGTCTGCTACTTTGGTTTATGAGTATTGGTTACTTTCCAATGATTACTGCACTGGCAACTGATGTTAATAGAGCGTATTGCAATCTGAAATATTTTCAGGTCATGTTCCACTCTCTGGGCCAAGACTGGACCTATGTAATGTATGATGAAGCAATCTACTGCAAAGCACAGTTGATTAAATGGAGGAATCAAAACAAATTTGACACTCATCACCTTGAGATGGGAGTCGTGCATCATGCAATGAATTTCATGGGTGATGTATAGGCAGTGTGATGCAGGAAAGTGGGTTTGAAGACATCCTTGGGGAAGCCAACATGATGGTGCTTCCATTATCAGCCATGCTCTAAGAGAAAAAGGATGTAACTGTGGTGTTAGAATCCACAAACTTATGAATGAGGCAATGAATTGCTTGAAATGGATGGCACTTGGCGATTCCAGGAACAATGATGGTCTCCCAAATGATCAGAAGAGATGCATCATGGAGAAAGCTCA